GTCCGTAGCATACTAACTTCTGCTCAGCTAAGGTTTATCACGCAACAGCGAAAATCAGGACAGATATCCTTTAGGGTCACATTCGCTTTATACTGCCACCAATGTAGCGTCTCAAGACTTCCCTGAAGCCTAGAGAAGACATAATGCTAGAATAGAACATATATACTGAACACAGAGAGGGCATTTGGGCTACTGGCACGGCCTAAAGGCCAACCAACCCAGCGTGGTACAAAGGCCACTTCAAAAGTGACCCCTCGCCAATACCGAGGGATAAACAACCATCGTACTGCAGTACGAAGTGCTTAAGCATTTTGGTTAATTTCGTGTCTTTCTGCAAAGGCCAAAATGTCTCCGTAGCCAGCAGTCCTGTTTATCAGCGCGGTGGAATACGCATTCCAATAGAGTTTTGTACAATTTTCAAATTAATAATAGTTTGCTGCTCTATTAACACTTTGTAGCCAATCAAAACTTGAAAAAAGATTTGAGGATACTTTTCAGTAGCAGTGTTAAGCCAACCCGTCATAAAAGCCAGCGATCCAGATTTCTACTTCCTTAGAAGAGCAGATACCGCTATAAATATCTGCATTTTTAGAATTTCAAAAGTATTACAGCCAGTGTCTGCTTTTGGTTCTTCTCCGATCCGCATTTTTTGCAAGAATGCCATTAAAACTGAAGTATTGTAGCTTCTTGAGACTTCTACAAAGAGAAGGGAAGACATAATCTTTAGGTACAGTATATACAATCCATGTGTAGTAGTGATGGGGCCACTGACATGGATCGGAGGCCAGCCTACCCCGAGAGGATGCAATAGCCGAGACCCATATCGGCTCCCATACCAACAACAACAGTTAAACAACCAACGCATTACGACAAAACCAGACTCACACCACCTAAAAAGGTGTTGTAGAGCTCTTCGCCCTTCCTATATGAAGTTGTAAATCAAGTCGACAAGCGGTGCAACCTTCACGATTCTACTGGCTGCATGATACCTCAGTTGAAGGCAGGAGGGGGACACTTCAATGGAGCAAGATAACGAGGGGAAAAAGCACGAAACATATAATTTATAAAAACAAAAAGCCTATTTTTTTCGCTGCCCTGCTCTGGTCTTTTACAACTTCAGAGGAGACCCGAAACGCAACAGGTAAAATTGGCGGATAATTACTAAAAAAGCCACAGAGATAAAAAAATATGCCCCGTGCATTTCTGGGTTTATACAGCGCACAGGCAATTTTTAGGTAAAAGTTCTTCTCCCCTTAATGTAGCTTTGGAAATATCAATTAGTGTTTTAACAAGCATGAAGTCATTTTTGGAAAAACCTGATCAAACACTGCTCGGGATTCATTTGGTGCAAAGTAATTGGAGGCGAAACAGGTGTTCTTAGTTAAAAAAGTGCAGGTTAATGCGTCCAACGAAAACATTTACCAACAAAGTTTATGTTTCGATGCAAGCGGCTTAAATTGGCCGCTGCTGATAAAAGCGGGCGGTCTATTTCGATTGTGTGTGAGATTTATGTAAACCCGTTTGCACTTTGATTCGATATGGGAAAGTCAAAGAAAAGAGGGCATTCACCTCACGGTTCGGTTAGCTTTTTTTAAACATCTTCTATTTCTTAGTCCTCGGACAGTTATGAATGGAAGGTAGCAAAGGTGCTCATGAGTGTAACGCCAAGACTTACTAATCATTATCAGAAAAACGTTTCCGAATCTCAAGATGATGATGAATTTTCTGCTGTCCTTAACCGTATTTCATCGCCGAAATCTGGCGTCAAAGGGGTTTTTAGTTCGCCGCAGGTATGCTTAATGCTATGCCATATTGTGCAGGATAAGGCGAGTTTTTCTCAATCAAACCCAAACCTGGGAAAAATCAATGCGGACGGTCAAATGAAGAATACACACTCCTCACAACAAAGGCTGAGTTTTTCAACGAAAGACCAAGGCGCAGATTATACGCAATCACATCCCAACCATTCGATGTAAGTTAACTTTCCCTGAGGGTCTCGTTTGCCAATTTTTGGTTTTTTTTGAGTTTTGGCTACATGCACTGCAAGCGCTTTGTCTTGTACCTATTGCACTTTTGATTTTATTGAAACTGCGTAATTCTTTTGGGAATATTTGTTCTCCATATCTAATACATCTTCCATTTAGCAAGGACGGAGAGGTGTACGGCGGTTTAGTTTTGGAAGATAAGCCTGTGAATACTTCTGCGGATTGTGCTAAAGTTATTGAAGAGAGATACGTTACAAACGATGATATAAATACAATGGCTGCTCGGCTGCTTAAAGCTGAGTTATCCGGGAATGGGGTCTGTTTTCTTGTTTTTCTTTTGTTTTGCCTATTTTTGTAGATAAACGAAATTATTCATATTTATTTTGATGCAGGAAAAGATAGGAAAAATTAAGTCAAGACTAGATCAGCTGCGGGAGGCTCAGCGTAGAAATATAAAAGTTCGCTTGACAAAAACGGTACCTGTCTCATTTAAAGAAGCCAAGCACTCCAGGAATTTCTCCCCCCTGGCCACTGCAAATAAAGTTGGTCGGGCTATCCCCCTGTATATCAAGGAATCTGAAGACCGTTCATTTGGCAAAAAGTAATTGGAGCATTGATATTTTTTGCTTTATTTGCGGCCAGCATGACCCTTTCAACGTATTCGTTCATTGAATCGCAGTTATGAGAGGGGTAATTGTCATAACGAAAATGGCTTCCGGACTAGATATCTTCGTGACGACGGTAATCGCTATACTGTCGATGAGATGATTCGTCAAGGAAAACTGGAGACGAAAAGTTCCTGCGACAGGCAGTTTGCATCGCTAGCCGGTCGAGTAAGCTCCGTGTAAAATCGAGTGTTCTTTTTTTAGTGCAGAGATGGCGTAGATGAAGAGTACGACAGTACCTTTTTGAACAGTGTCACACTGCAAGGCGTTTTGAGGTCTCACCGGAAGTCCGATGCAATAACAGGTTCGTCCTTTTAAAATTGGTTGCTACGATGTGCAAAACGATTGCTCTGAGATGTAAAATATCATTATTCTAACTTATGTATGGAGTATGAAAGACGCTGCAATGTCTACCAAAATTCACACCATAAACGCTAAACATGACATCTAATTTACTGATATCCCATCGAAAATCTGATATAGCCTCTCCTGACGACTGTGACTTAAAAGTGCGCTAACGTTGGTTTTACGCTTCGCCAGTTCTCGTAGGGTCTAGTTATTTTCCAATTTTAGATTACAAACGACGGGAGTATGCTGAATCCGTCTGCCCTTCATGTATGGATCATACACCACGTTACCTAGTAATGAGTGTCAGGCATCGTGTAAGTTACCCCAAGCACGAGCAATAGTGCTCGCTCTGTACGGCATGGTATCTTGATAGGCCAGTGTTAATATGTTAAAGTAGTTACCCTAACTCCCGGATTCTCCTTTCTTCTTGATAAGGCACAAAATCACTCGCATGAGGCGCATTATGTTAAATAGCTTAATAATGATCCATGTGGTTATTTGAATAACTAGATGTTTCTCTCACTGCCTGAGCACGTGAGTTTAACCCGGGGGCACTGCCTCCTTACCCCACTGGAGCACGTAGGCGCGATGACACGGGTCGACGAGGGGGCAGTGGATGAGGCATGTGCCTTTAAACGTGATCTCTGCCGCATGGCTGCGCTGTGGAAGGGCAAAGGAGCGTCCTATATCTTCATGGAGGTGGCCGGCTATTCCGATTCATTCAAACACCATGTCCAAATAGAGTGCGTTCCTGTTGGTCGGGAGACAATGGACGAACTACCATCTTATTTCAAAGTAACGGAAGCTGTGAATCTTAAGATCATTTAACACATTCCTCTTCGCCGTCATAAAAACCACGCTTCGGTTTTATCCAATCTCGATATCACATATATGCGCTACGTGTTCTCCGTTGGTTTATAATCACTTTTTGCTCCAAGTCGTTTCGCAATTGGACTGGTTATTTTTAAAACAAAGTAGGTGTAAGATGTTCTTGATCCGAGGGTAACCGCATTTTTTAGCTCTTAAACAGCATGAATTGGTTAAAAAATGAACGACAACTGGTGTCATGGTAGGACAGTAGAATCTTCTGAGTTATGGTGGTTGACTTCTCCCTGAGAATCTAGCGGTGGACGTGTTGATTTTTTCATAAGTGGCACGTGCTTGCAATATGTAAGGCTAGTTTCCAAAGTTGAATAAGAGATTCTGAATTGGCTCAGTTAGACTCCTCTCAGGGGCGGTGACGTATGAGTTTGCCAGCATGGCTGAAGTAGTTGGATGCCCATAAATAACTAGATCATTGGGTAAATTCTTTGCTGTGGCTTATGTTAACGAATGCTACTGCTCTGTTGTGCGTTCAGAAAGCCATGCTTGATCTCGGCTCGGAGTGGGATCAAAATAAGCGAATAATTGACCTGAGACAACCGGGGACTAGCGCGTACAAAGCCATCCCACCGAATTTCGGGTACTTTTGCGTTGAGTTCGGGATTGATGGTGGCGGCTACGCCAAAGTGATCGAGAACTGGTCAACCTTCCCCCTCCACTTCGGTCGAGTAAGAACTTGCAATGCATTCAGTTGTTATTTTCCATCATTCTTTCACCTTTTTGATTATTATCAAAAGAGATTCAAAGCCAGTTGCATGCCGCGACCGACTGATTAGTGTAATGAATGTCTGCTATTTGCAGGAAGTCCTTGCAGGTGTCATGGGAATTTCAGCAGAAAAATGGCGGAAGCCGAAGAGAGACTCAATGGAACAGCTTCGAACAAAGGTGGTTGAGTTCGAGAAGAAGTGGGTAACCATAGTGCAGAGCACTCACGAACAAGACGGCGTAACCCACCGCACCAAAGTGACCGCTACTACCACCTCTGCCGCTAGATGTGACTTGGAACCTGAAGGCCCCGAATTGCCCCCATAAATGGTGTAACTGTATATTGTCTGGCGTGTACCTTTGTTACATTGTGAAAGCTTAGTTTGAATATTGTACTGTAGCTATTAAGTCTGTAGCTGATTAATATATGAATTGTAAGGGGTACTTTCGGTAGTTTAACGCATATTCGTCGTATGTAGCAGTGGGTTATACCATTTCAAAATACAAACCAGAGGCGCCGGTAGATTTCTATTGAGTTACACCACATTTCAGAACATGAAGTGGAAGCATTGAATTTTCATCCCCCATTTGTTTCCTAATGGCCTCTTCGAATTTGTCCAGGTAGACATTGAATTGCATGACGTCTCGGGGTTGTTGATTCCAAAATTCGTTGAATTTTACAAAAAGATAAACTGAAATTTAAGTGGAGAAAGTTAAAACTAGGTACTATGGTGAACGATTTGGGACGCTGGATACTTACTGTAGACGAGATGTAGATGGACCAACTTTGGAGTCCCTTTGAGTGAGTTGTAGAAATGTGTCTTTAGAGTTCCATCTTGAAGAAGACGCCACAGTAAGCTTGTGAGATTAATGCCAACGATTGCAAATGGGTACCTAAACAGGACATTCGGTCAAGTCTTCGCCTGAATTAAGCAGGCAATATAAGCTGACTTGCCAGTGCTGAGGACGCAATGAAGAGGAGAGAATGCTGAGAGCCAGTTTATTGTAATATTTAACGAAGTATCTGCATGAACAGGAAGTAAAAATAGCTACCAAAGTCACAAATCGAACGCACCGAAAATTCTCCGCACCAAGGGCTCCCATACCCCGAAAATCCGTTACCGGACTGCTACCCTGAAAGCCGATATCGGACCATCTCCGGCTTTTCAGTGAAAACGGCTCATCAACTATCATGGAGTTCCATATCTAAACATCCGTATGAGAATTTAGTGACTTTCAACGTCTTTTAATAAGACCACGTGGGTTTCCTCATTGGTATTGAAGGGCAAATTCTTCAAAGCATCAGCTTTAACAATGAGGCTACGATAGCCGCGAATCTGAATAATGGACTGTTTAAAGTCAACAGACAGCCTAAAACATTCAGTAAGGAAGAAGCAATACATAGAATTCGCCACATTCTCTATGCGAAAAACTAACGCGACGTATTTTGGCAACGGAAGAGTATATAACCCGTCGCGTACCATAACATTGTCGGAGAGTCTGAACGACCTTTCTACCACATCAAACGACAAATATATGCCCAAACCTATCCGGATAGTTCTCACAAAACCGAAGTTATTTTTCATTATGATTCGCTCGAGTTCACTGTGTCCATAAAGCAAGACAACGAACCACTTGTAAAATTTGTAAATGATCGGAACGACGGTTGAGAAAAATGGCAAATACATAAACCAATAACGGCTAAATGTTTCAAACGGAAGGTACATTCTCGAACCACATTAAAGCGCACAACTTAAGTAAGTGAACTGATGGAGTCAGCCTTGAAGCATAATGACAACGACGATAGGAGGTAAAATCCCACATTAATTAAGCTTACCATGATGCAAGGCAATCGTGTAAGTGGTGAATTCGAAATCAGAGTAAAGTGACAAGACCAGTGCTGTGTAAGCACTGTTCATAGTATATAAAAAAATCCAACCCAGCGAAGACGAGGATTGTACTCACATGTGGTTTATTTCACAGTAGCCTTATACAAAACAATGCTGATTATTTAGTTTTTTGAAAGCTTGCTGCTCGAATAGCAAGAAGGCAAACTTGTTAAATTGCAGACTTCGGAACCCAACGCCTGCAAAAATTGTACTTACGCAATTTTTTAATTTTTACATTATTGTTTAAAACATAAATTAAGGCTAGAAGGGGAATTTAATGATTAGGCTGACGTTGCTCCACTGCGTTGTTTAAATTCAGCAGAAGAAATAAAACTGGTACCCCCTGCTTTTAAACAGCGGATCTGCTAGTGCCTGTGGTTGGGGTTGGCTGATTGCCGTGTGATTTCGGTAGACAATCGTAGTATTGCCCCATCTTGTGTGCTGTTGCACTCATAAAGCACCTAGAATTGGGATTTCGTTAGGCTCTCTACTCAGTCTGCAGCTGGACATGACAAACGACCAGCAGTAGGAAATTATTTTCGCTTTTTAAACCACTATTAGTATATGTGAAGGCAGTAATTGCAGCAGTTGTGCGCAGCCGGATAAGGATGAAAGTTTTGCCCAACTGGAAAAAGAACGGTCTGCAAGAGAGAATCATTGTCAAATCGAAAGGCGACGCAGAAATAAGATGTCCGCCTATATTAATGAGCTGTGTACAATGGTACCAACTTGTAGCTCCGTGTCAAGAAGACCTGATAAGTTGACGATACTCCGAATGGCCGTTAGTCATCTTAAAGCCTTACGTGGTATGTTAATGGTGCTTGATGTGCCTATATTGCTATGTTTGTTTTGTGTTGATGAAGTACCTAAACCTTTTTATGATGTTATATTTTCTTGCCCCTAGGTGCAACTAACATTTCAGATGGTTACCTTAAACCATCCTTTTTATCTGATCAGGAGCTAAAACACTTGATTTTAGAGGTATGTTCGACTTGTCACGAATATCCTGGCAAATTTGTGACCTTCTTCTTTGTGTTTTAGGCTGCTGATGGGTTTTTGTTTGTATGTCGATGTGATACTGGAAAGATTACATACGTGTCAGACAGTGTTTCGCCTATACTGAATGCAACTCAGGTGTGCGGGCGTTTATTGCTGAAAGCTTAGTTCTGGAATGTTTTTGACTTTTTTTTTTAATTTTAGTCAGATTGGTATCAGCGTACTCTGTATGACCTTTGTCATCCCGATGATGCAGAAAAAATTCGGGAACAGCTTGTCGGGGCGCAGCGTGCCTCCTCTTGTGCCGCACTGGGCCTTGATTCGCCCCACGATTCACTAACTAATGGGACTAACTATCACAAGTCTACGGACTCTTCAACCGCTTGCACATCATCTCGTGTTTTGGATCTAAAGTCAGGAATCATAAAAAGGGATGGATGTAAGTTATTTTTAATTGATGCTACTACCAGCTTCACATTGTGCAATTGGTTACTGCTGCATCATCCTACATTTTATTCTGATGTCCGCATCGCAACATTACTGCTAAGTGCAAGAAAAGTTGGTCGTTTTTTTTGTTTGCTTTAATGTTGCAGTATGATTGGGTTCCCTGAAAAATCCATAAACTGATGGGTTCTATTTAGCAAATTTTTTTCCGTGCAGCTAAATCGCGTGGTGGGCTCTCTGATGACCGCCGTGGCTTCATCTGTCGAATGAAATTAGGCAACCTATCAGCCACACAGGGTTCTTCATCTGCGTCTACTGTTGCCCGTCAGGCCCGCCTGAGGCATCAACAGATTGTGCTCTCTGCTGCCGACTCTTTTGATGGCGACGTTGGTGATTTTGCTTCTGGCTCCCCAAAACAACGCTATGCTTTAATGCATGTCACGGGGTATGTCAAGAGCGCTCCCTCAACCGTTGAGTCGCCGAACCCAGTCAATGCAGATGGTTACCCGATTCCACATTCCTCCACAGACTTTGTTGTTTCACTGTTGGGTATGCTGTTTTCTTTTTCATTTGTACAGCGAGTTTTATTGTGTAAAGTAGCACGAATGCTAAGGACTAGCTCCAAAGAAAGCCGTATCTTACCAAAATATGTAGGGTCTTCAAAGTAGCACTTAAATAAGCTGTTTTGTATGCTAGTGTTTTTGTATCTGTACTCAAAACCATATCGCCTTTTTTTTTGACTAAATTTGTTTGCAGAACCGCAAACGATAAAGCCCTAAATTCCCTAATTGAACCATGCTTTTAAGTAGGCGATTATTGCTTGTAGGATAAATGTCAATTTAGTTCTTGGAATCTCTTTTGGAACAGTCAGTTATCATCCGTTCCTTTCGAAGTCGATATTCGCCGGCATAGAAGTGCTTGTGTTCCACTACCATTATTTGCCATACCCCCTGGGGTTAGTGCTTGTCTGGTGTAGGGGTGACTCATGCCTGTGGATTAATTTATCTGGCTGTTTTTGCTGCACCATCCGTTAAAAGCATATATGGAGTGGTGGTCCCCGTCTAAATGGATTACATTCTGTGCCAATATGGCTTAATTATTGCTCACTAGTTGCTCGTGAAGCACCATAGAACGTAATGCCAAGCCTAAATTGAGAAAGCTGGGCATTGGACGAGGGGCGGAATGATAAGTGGCAGGTGCGCGACGTGAGTAGACTGAATTTGGTGTTTGAATCTGCGTAAACCTAGTGCAAGAACGTAATTGTGCAAGGTAACACCGGCTTTTGATCTAGCGCTTTACACGACTTTTAAGTTGTGGCAGTTAAACCATTGGAGTTGTTGATTAGGCCAAGCAGACCATTTATCTCAAACATACTTTTTGTGAGTTTAGAGCTTCCTTGCCTTTCCGTTTTTGCATTTCATTGTGTGCATATGGAATTCTAGAATTCCTTAAGACAACGTATCACGACCCGCTTTCGGTACCTAAGGTACACCTTGGATTTTTTAGGACATAGGAGTGTGGAGGTAGATTTTTCATAAACACAGAGTTTGAAGGCTGTTATTGGTGGCATGAACAGTCCTATACTATTTTGGTAGAGATTGAATTACCGCAGGCTTAGAAGAGCCCCAGTAATCATGGTATCTAGCCTGCTTTGAGTGTCATTTCCAAATTAACCGCAAAGTATGGTTGGAAATCCCACGGCGGCGTTTAATCACGCCGAGGGGAATACCATATCCGACACGACTTGTACATCTTCCACGATCTGCAAATTGCAATATGGCGGACCATTTGCTGAGCACTACTTAAGGGTCAGGTGGTTTCCGCATCGAGTGCACTTCGTGGGCTGTCAGCAGGAGCATCTGTTCAACAACGCTCACGGTATGCAACACCGTCTGAGCCATACTTTGTGTCCGCTTCGCTACCATGTCAGTAGTAGCCCGATGTTACCTTGGGCAATTTTTTGACACCTCCAGGTTACCTTTTGCAGTTTTTTCTTTCTAATTCTATGAATCCTTTCCGCCTGGATGGTGCAGTACAGTTTAGTGCGGTTCCTTTCTAGGTCTTGAGTTTTGCGATTTTGTCATGGGTTGATGCCGTTCCAATAATACGCCTGTTATAGCCTTCCACTGCTTTTTTGCCTCTTATGACGCTTTTCGCTTATTAGCCAACCAGGCTATTCGTCTGCCGATGCGAACCTGCCTCATTGCAAGAGGCAAAAGGTATTCGGCAAATTTAACTGTTACAAAGTAAACACCTCTGTCACTGTAAGGAAAGTAACGGCAATGCGACGCTTCTGGTTGCTTGTATATGCAAAGTTTGGGGGAATTGTATCACTCAAGTGATTTTTGTGCCTTCTGTTAAAACCTGCGTATCTTTGGAACCAAACATAACCCCATTTACAAATGGAAAACCCACTAATTACTTTAGCGCGGTCTTTTACAGATCGTGCCACGTCAGAAGGGGTGAATGGGACAGGCAATGGCGTTCAAGAGCCAAGCACGTCGTGCGAACATTCACATCCTCTATACTTTGTGGCGCTTGCTCGCCTTCAGCTCACTAACCTTCCCAATGCTGCCGATCTAATGCCTCACCGAACCTACCAATTCACTGTTCGCTTGGATGAAGACAAACTGATCACCTTTTGTGATCACCGCGTCGCCAATGTTTTCACATCTCCTCCCTGCGGTGCTGTCTCCCCTGAGCACGTCCTCGGTACAAGGTTCACCGATCTCATAATTGATCCTACCGAATGTTCTTCATTCTGTGATGTCTTTGACCAAGGTATGCATTCCCCACTTCTTTCTAGTACACACGAATAGATACCAATTTTCAGTGAATGTTGTGTTTCAAGCTGTCATGTCTGCCCCTTGAACTCCCAGGTCTTCTAACAGATTTGGCGTTTTACAGGCATAACGCTAATTATTTAAAAATTTGTTCTGCTTAAATAATATCACTAGGTGGACTAGAAGTCAGTCTTATTGCTACTTGTTTGAAGGGGTTTTTGAGCGAATAGTGGCAAATTTGAATGAACGTTTATCTTGCAGGTAAGGCGTGCTGCATAGCTGTACGTAAAACAGTGATGAGTATTTAGCACTTTATCTTTGCTAAACATAACCTTTGGCACTCTTCTACCCAACCATGTATCACATTGTTGATTCAAGTATTTCTTCGTATATGCCTTGTGGCGACCATACCGAAATTAGTGGTACTAGAATTGCCGAAATTCCCAGAAATTTATTTGCCAAGTTTGAGGTGTTCCGGATTTCCGTAATGCTATTGTTCCTGCGCACACTATTGTCTTGTCAATTAGATACTCCATCTCCGGTTAGGGTTCGTTTTCACCACTATTTCTACTGCCAATGTGAAAACCTCTTTCGGTGCGTGTCGTGCGTGTGCTTGCATGACTTAAACCTGTCCGCAGTAACCTCGTACGCATACATGGCAAGAACGTTTAGTCACACTACATTGCCTATGCAGCAACATTTCCTCTAACATACATTCAGGTTGAGGGAAGTGTTTTTGCTCGTTTTCGGAGTAGCAGGATATAGCAACGGCGGTAACCGTGTGGCTTTAATGTGTGCGGAAGCGTGAGTAGTGGCGGTTTCGCGCAATCTTTTTGTGCTCGAATGAGCGCTGTCCTATCTGCCCGTGCATTGCCGTCTGGGAGGGTTTTGTGCCCCGCCTGCCGCGTCGCCCCTCCCTCTTCCGCCTGTCTACGGTATTAACCGCAAGTCGATATTTTATGTTTGTGCGCGCGGGCGTGAGTGACAATTCCGTGCGTACGAGAGCGCCCGGGACGAATCTCTTGGGCTTTGTGCTCTCGGCGTAGCGAGAGGGTGAGCGAGAGTGATGCAGTAATGGCAGCTATTCGTCGTTGTGTCTACTGTGTGCGCGGGTGTGCTCGCCTGTCTGCGTTATTCTAGTTTAGAGCGCGCTCGTGCGTTTGCTCTTGCTCCTCTGTTGTGTCTGCCCACCCTCTCCTTTCACGTACATGCTCACACGTGCGCACACCTGTTGCTATTATTTACATATATGTCAGGGTGCCTGTTTGTACATTTCAATTCGGAATTTTAACCCTTCGTTTCACTCATCACCTGATCCTACAAGTGTCTGCATGAATTTGACCGTTGACTGAAGTTTGTGTACTTGTGATGTGGATGCATTACTAATTTACCTCAAGTCCACTTTGCTCCTGGATACACCAACCGAGATTTCACTTGGTATTCCCCATTTTCAGTTTGGAAATCGGATGGTCGGAAGTTGGAAGTATCTCTTCATTTACGTCCTCCTCCTAAATCCTCTACCTCAGCGTCCACTGAGACGTCTCCGCTTGATGGGGGTGTTGGTGTCAAGTGTAGCGTCTATGCCTTCAAAAACCCCTACAGTAAGATTGTTGAGTATGCCGTATGCACCCTGACGTTGGCAGTGGGTCTCCAGGCTTCTACGACACCTCCAAATGCTCAGCCACTTTATTACTCAACCTTCACATCGGCTGACTCTCAGCGGAGTCAGCAGCAGCAGGAGCGGCAGCAAACCCAGGATCACAGCGATAACGGGTCACTGTACTGGGGTCCTGTGCAATGTTCACCTCTACAACAACAACAGCAGCAGCAGAGAGGCTATGCTCCCGAAAATGCCGTCTCCACTCCCCATCAGTATGATTTCAGCGCAGCCACCAGCGCTACTAGATGTAGTCCAAGCGTAACAGTCACTCAGCCCAAGTTTGGTACTGGTGAAAGATATGCAGCCATATTGGGTGAGCTTTGATTCACGAGCTTCTGATGAGACTTCTCCTCAGCCTATCCGTAATCAGTTACTGCTTTTGCCTTTACGACGTCATAATGCAAAGAGCTCTGGTGCCACTACAACCTTAGTAGAACTTGGATTTCTCCGTCCAAGAGCAGACCCAGTTGACTTCGGGTTTATGCACTCATTCTAGATGAGAGTCATCCCATCAATTCCTACACGCAGTCAGTACCTCATCAGCCTTACCTCCATACCAGCTCCTCATACACTCACCCCCAACGGAACATTCCCTTCACGGACGCGTCCGTCTACTCCCCCCCGTCATCCTCCGAAGGTGCTACCAACAGAGCTTCTGCGATCTCCTACCTCCCCAGACCCAGCGATCAGCGAAAAGGCACCGGCGCAAGGGACTGGTGCCTATAATACGGGAGTTCTAGTTGCGGAGGCTGAATAGCCTTGATGTAGGTAGGTAGGTAGGCAGGCGATAAAGTGAGACCGAAACGAGAGGTGTGAGGTGGAATCCTGACCGGCTTGTGGTTGCAAGCCGGTACTCAGGTGTCAGTCTCTTGTGCCTCACACCTCTCGTTTCAATTTTCCTTTAACTACCTACATCAACATCCGCAACTAGTTGTCTCCGATCTTTGGCCTATATACAATGCGCTCTGCTGACCTCAAGAAATGGTCACTTGTATAGAACTCATGTATCATAAGTGTAAGTTGTTAAGCTCCCCACCTCCACTGTCCGATAATCGACCTGTGACAGTCCGATACACAAAACAAAGTGTAAGTAAGCTCGCTTAACTCCCCAGTGAGCCCCTGATTACCTGTGTGTACTTATTTATACACAACTTTATGTTTTTATATATTTTTTTTCGCTTTCAAGGAGTTCGAGAGGAGCTAATGACTAGTCAAGACTAATAAAACTTTGCGATTGTTTGAACCCGAAGTTCATTCGACAATTTATGCTTCCATTTGATGGCGGAGTCTTGTGTGCACCACGTTTAAATAGGCGATACTGACCAGGCGGTAAAGTTGAAGGTCTCTGGAGTTTTGTTATTTAACAAACAAGTCTGAAGTGTCAAAAACCAATATGAAATATGAACCATGGGTTGTAAGTCATGGGATTACGAAGAGTGTGTACAGAAATACGCGTCCAGCTGACCTGATTGCTTGTTCTGTGACTGTTGCTATAATTTGCTACTTTGCATCTTGAGAAGCTAACAAGAATAAGGGGTTAGACAATTTCAAACACAACACTTACATTTTTTGCCTTGATTATCTCCCGTTTTTCATCGAAGCGCATTTCATCAAGTTTCTATAGTACCGGTAAGGGCGTGTAAAGGATGGCTTACGCGTTCTGCAGTCCTTCGTGCTATAATAACTTCAGGTATTATTTTGGCCACATGGGCCTCGTTAACTTCAAATCTTTGGAGGTTCTTGCCTAAAATATATATCTTGGCAGTTGAACGCCAAGACTGAATATTCCTATCTCAAAGAACGGTAAATAGATGTTTTGTTGAAGAGTACGCAGACCCGACTAGTCATAGCTTGATGCCAGACGTTTACCATAATAGCCGTCATTTGACTTCTGGACCAGCAACCTCGTGTACGCTAGGAACACCTCAGATACCCGAGTTTGGGAGATAAGTGAACATGTAGGTCGCGTGGTCTGATGCATCCGGGACTTGGGGTTTGAATTACTGCCCTAGACGCCACTAGGTAAATTCCGAGTAAAAAAATCGGTGCTTCAAGACTGATACTAACCAAACATCCAGTGTAAAATGTTGTGAAGTGCGAATAACCCACAGAACTATGTAAAATGGAAACTGCGACTAGACATTTGTTGGAGCGAACGTGAGCGATCGGACGCCTTTTACCAACAAGCTCGACATGTTTTGACTTTTCAACATTTACCCTTCACACTCATTTACAGCAAATGGGGATTTCATTAAAACTATCTAAACGGATCGTATCGTACAGATTTTTTATATGCTGACTAAATGCAAACGAGTAGTAACCGATTCAATTATTGCAGGTAAAAGAAGTATCTACTATACAGAGACATGCTGATGTTGATGACTTAAGAGATGCAAAATTAACAAGGATGTAAGAATGTTACAATAATGGCCGCAAGAATAGGATTCTGTTTCTCTTTGCGAAGCAAAATAATCGGTAGGCAGGATTTGAGAAACCTAATGCAGCCGTTAAACATACTGCTTATTTGACTTAAGTATGGGATTTTTAAAGGATTGATCAAAAGTCCATCCCTGAATAATCTTAGACGCATGAATCAGATATCAGAGTAGACATACCCAGATAGTGATGAGTTAAAAAAGGGCTAATTTGGTGAGATATTGATTGATGGGCGAGAAAAATTAATTCAACTATTTTAAGGAGAGTCGTCACATTGTTTGAAAAGATGTGGAAGTTGGAAACAGACTAACAAACATCGTTTAAACTTCAATAGATGTGGAAGTGCGTTCGGTACGATCCTAACGGAGAAATGAAGACATCGATGGGCTGTTCTGCTTATGTTATAAGGCAGACAAATCACGGTCGCGCGGTTTTGCACTATAAAAATTAATTACTAAAAGCTTAAGACATAACACTAGTCGAAGTACTCATCATTACAGCCTATAATTCTTTTCCAGTAAGATACAAGTTTGCGTATTTCGCACCTGTAAGGCACTTTGTCTCCAGTAGCTCATAAGAATCCCAGGCATCTCCGTTTCTACCTTACTATTATTTCCCAACGATCAACTTTACTCTCAATCTAAGCATCTGATGCCAAGGGAGAGATAACCATTAATTGGAAAAATGACAGGAGATTAAGGAGAATTCAGATGAGGTAGCGTTTCACCAATTCCAATTTCAACGTGCAAACCTTCCCAAGAGAGTTGTAGCTTAGGTTCTTGTGACATAAGTAGAGAACTTCCTTCCCACCAAATGACTCAATCGTTTTTCAGTAATTCTTGCGCATCGATCTGTATCTCAGCTGTAGCTGCTGTTTCACCTTCAGCAATCCCACACGCGAAGCATAGGCTTCTGAGGATGAAATACAGAGTGGAGACTGAGTGGGTCGTTCGGGAGTAATCAATGACATTTTCGTTCACCTAACTTTGCAGTACGGAGGTCACACGTTGCGTTTTTATACTAGACGTAAAATAAAGAAGGGATTGACGATGTTTGAACCTATTGGTTGCCCTTGGTTAACGTGCGTCAATTTGACGCCTACACGCTCTCTTTCAAGACTTCCCCAGTTAATAAAGATGAGCTGTGAGCTGTTTCATTATTCACTCTAGACGCTATCAGTTTTTGACGAGTTAGTTCCAGATTAATGTCGATGACAATACATAATTCTATATTATCAAGAAGAGAGGATCCTCCAAATGCGATATAGCTTTGGGTGATTCAGCACAACAACCGATTTGAAGAGGCACGTTTCGCTGACACGCCTCCAAGACCACAAAAAGAAACGTTATGAGAAGCTTTCGCAGCTTGGGAATCGAGATAAAACGTATCGTAAAGCAGACAAGCAAAGATCATAACAGATACAAATGGCAGGTAAATAGTGGGACACAACAGAGCACCGTACCGGTGGACTGATGCAAATCTATGCGTTATAACGCATTTTTTACAAGTCCCGGAAAGCTACCACAACTCATTGCAGTCAGTTACGTCGAAAATCGCACGAGCCTCTCTGGTTACCCAATATCATAGGCAATGACAATGTTACAATGAGGTTGATCATTACAGAAAGAAATAAAAACAATTGACGTGTCAACTAGGGTTATTAAGAACTCGCCACAGGGAACTACGGGATTCATAAAACCTTTTTAAAGATCACTTTCAGTCCAGAATATTCGATGTGATAATTGTGTTTTTGGAACAAATAGATGATAGGTACAATCTTGCACCATAAGTTCGTGAAGAGGAATTAAAAATGCTTTAGTGGTGCTTGTACCTCCCTCAATAGAGGTAGGAAAAAGTTGTGCAAAGCAAATCCATGGCATAATACTTTCAAAAAAGAAAAAAAATTAACGAACCAATGAAGGTTTGAACCGCCTTCAACCGCTTAATCTCAAAGAGATCAGCGAAGGTGATAGCCATACCCGCCTTCCCAGCTCGCGCTGTCCGGCCAACACGATGAACATAGTCTTTCGGTCGAATTGGGACGTTGTGATTGACCACGGCATCCACCGTCGGAAAATCCAATCCGCGACTAGCAAGATCGGTTGCAATTAACACTCGCACATGACTAGATTTAAAAGCTGTTAGAGCTGCAATTCGATCAGTCTGGGGCATCGAAGAATGCAAAACAGCCGACTGAATACCCACTGACGACATAATCAAACCAAGGAGGTGACACCACTTGCACTTGTTTGTAAAAACAATTATTAATGAATGTGAGTTTTCAGTAAGAAATTGATCTATGACGTGGACTAAGAAGGCATCCTTCAATTCAGGTCTTGTGATCAGGTAGTACTGAGACAGAGTATCGACGGTCGTAGAACTGGCAGCTTTTTGTCCAGGGGACTCGGTAATGCCTTTGGACTCCCACATGACGGGGGGATTGCGATTATCTGCGATGGCGGCCGCCCTAGCAGATTCTACGGCCCTCTTGACAGCACCACTGAAGGTCGCGCTGAATAGGAGAGTCTGACGGTTTCGCGGCAGAGCTGCCATGATTTCCGCAAGATCTTTACCAAAGTTGTCTTCTAGTAGCCGATCAGCTTCATCAAGCACGAGGACTTTAAGGCGAGAGAGGTTCCATTCAGGAACAGCACCGGACTCTGCAGATGATTTCTGAGTGCGCAAGAGGTCCGCCAGCCGTCCAGGAGTGGCAACGATAATGTGCGGACCCCGAGCTAAATCGATTCCCTGCCGAATTATGCTCTGACCGCCTGTTATAACCTGAACAGTACATATTGAATTCCCCTGAACCAGGTTAAGACCTGCCGTCTGCTCGCCAATTTGATGGGCGAGTTCACTACAATAAAATTAAGGACTCCGTGTCACTTCAAGTGATGTAAAAGACAGTCGGAGTTGCAGTAAGTATATGAAGAATTGGTACTGTTAACAGCTAACGCAAAACTGACTTTGTACACAGTCTGCATCAAAAATGAGTTGGACTTAAGAAAAAGAATCAGATGGTAAAACAAACCAGCAAAGGCACAAAAACAAAGCTAAAAGCCCCATAAGTCACGTGAAGGGCAAAAACGAGCAATGATTATGCGGTCGTACGGATACCAATGATATTAAACATACCGAGTGGGTGTAATAACAAGAGCATAAAACGGTCTTGGTTCATGCATCAACGCTTGAAGAAGAGGGATAACAAATGCAGCAGTTTTGCCGGAACCAGTTTGAGCACATGCGACAACATCATGACCTGAGTATAGGAAAAGAAAAACCGGGACTTACCAGATAAAACCTCAGGGATACATGCTGCTTGAACTTCCGATGGCACAAGTATACCCTTCTCGTGTAAAAGTTCGATAATTTCAGGACAAACACCAATTTTCCTGAATGTCATGCCTACGAACCTGGACTGCAGAGCGACCCAAAAAGGCACAGCCAATCACAAAATTACATGAAACAAATTTGCACATTTTAACAAGAATTTGATGACTAAAAGGTAGAAAAAGTAGAAATGAAGATGAGCTGGTGGTGTGACATATTTCAACAACCTCTTTCGTTGAAAACAAATACTGTGTAATACGATAGTAGTTTATCCCTCGGTTCTGGTGAGGCGCCACTTTTGTACTTTGAATTGGTCCCCTTGTACCTCGCTGGGTGGGCTGGCCTTTTGGGCCATGCCAATAGCCCAGACACCTTCTCCGTGCTGAATATATATATTCTGCCCGAGTATTGTGTCTTCTTTCGTCTTAAGGGAGTCTCGGGACGCTACAACTGCTTAGCAAAGCGTCTCCTCATCAGAGGATGTTAAAGTATTCACTCTATGAAATTTACTAAATTGATCTTATTTTATGCAATTTTTTAAAGTTTCTTTAGTTTGGTCGCCGCAAGTAACCTTCTGTCTTTTGAAACCTACTCGGCAGTGCGTTTTCGTCCAATGTTGACCAATAATTAGCATGGCATTCTGGAAAAATAAAATAAGCGAAATTTTGCCTCATTTTTTACAAATGAGAGTAACGAAACAGATAAGGACATAAAATCAACATTGATCCACGTTAGGTTGTCATACTAGGGTGCACCATTTCGGTTGGCCAGTGTCGTTTGTGGTCATGTGAGGCGTGCCTGGGTTATTTTCCTCTCAAAATTGCTTTTAACATTGTTTGGTGGCGGTATTTGCGTGAACTTTGCTATTATATTGTCTGCGCAGCGTCGCTCAATTTTCATCTCTACATAATAGTTATTTTTCCCGTATGATGTGTTCTATGTAATCCACCTCATTCTAATTTTTTATTCTTAGGATGTTTCGGGTCGGTGTTTACGTATTAGGTTTGTTCGGAGCTGCAGCAGCCACCTTGGGCTTTTTTGTAATCTACCGTCAACTTGGCCATGCATCATCTTGTCGTAAATCTGAAGGTAGAAAGCCTTTGAGGATTAGCGCCTATTTTGTCGATAACCAGGAAATAGCACTGTGGCAATTAGGTCAGCTCAATTTTTCTCGATGTGGTGAGAAGAACAAATCGGATAATCAAGTCTCTGTTGAGGAACTTAAACACCTAATATCCTTGCTACCGGCTTTAAACACTATGAGTTCCCTCAAGATAATGAAGACTCTCATACGATTCAGCAATTACAGCGAAAACATAGTACTTCCATACTTATTCAATTTACTGTAAAGCCATCGTTTAGGTCAACAAAAGTCTTGGATGACCTTTTCTCTTTACTGAATTTGGGTGGCGATGGCGAATTTTTACGATTGACAAATGTGCACGTATTGAATTTGTTCGCGAATCTCATCATTGACGGCAATATTAGGGAGCATTTAAAGGTATGACTTGACTTGTTTCCTGTGAGATTATCTAGGCTCACATCGGTTTTTTTTTTGACGTCACATTACCTTCTTTGCAAGTGAATGAAGTGATTGCTATGCTTCGGTTGCTAGGCAATTTCTCCATGATGGATGATACTTGTGTCACCGTCGGAATGCACTTTCCAGAAGTATTTGAGTTTGTAGCTGGTCAAAGTGATGGGGTCAGGCGTCAAGCTTGGACTATACTTTTAAATCTCTCCTGCAATATGCAATGTGTGGATGTCATTCTCGGAACTGCGGTATACTTTAACTGCTTCTCATGAAGAAAATACAGCTTAAAGTTTTAGGTTCAGCATCTATATAGTTAGGTATTTTTATCAAAAACAACTGGGACTCCCCCACCGTTTGGTGTGTTCGTGATCTTTCTATACATTTTTTTGTCATTTTTTCAAGGATTTTAAATATTCATGTAACCTCAGTATTAAATTTATAAATAGTAGTTTCTTGCGACTAGTTAGTGTGTTCCATTTTCAGTCCATTAGCTCACCTAGTTTTCTTCGCTATTTTCCATTAACTCGTAACTTCTCCTACTTGGTTTTTTTATAGTTGCGCCTCCTTGTTACTTTATAATTCTCCCTTATTATTTTTAGACTTTTGATGGATTTAAAGCGAGTTTAAGAGAACTGCTCACCGAAAAAAATGACGTTATTCTTCTAAAGTCGATAAAATTCCTTTGCAACCTATATCAGGGACTACGGATTCAAAAGAGAAACCAATTTTCCAGAGATTCAATTTTGAATGAACTGCTGGTAAGTACACGTTACTTTGAGTTTCATGCCTTTGTCGCTAAATATCGGCTCAAATCTGCTGTCTTCATAAGGCAATCCAAATTCTTTTTGGGTTTGTAGCATACACCTAATTTTGTAACTGATGAGCTTTCCCTAAACTTACGCTGCTTATAAATTCACTTTTTAGGTACCATAAAGTATTTGCTCTCTTTAAACTCGTCATATCATTTCGTGATTCCCTCCTATTCTTTTACTTAAGTTCTATCTGTCAGGATATGATTATTCTCTTAAAAACCTACTCTAAATGAACTGTTCTAGCACCCTCATTATGATAGTTATTAATTATGTAATATTTAACGCATTTACGACTACCTTAATTTTTCTTCCATCCTGTCGTACTAGTGGTATGTATTGCTGAAGATACCAATTTGTCCCTCTCCACATCTACTACACTTTTTCACATTATGTGGTACATCAGATGTTGGACCTGTTTTTTAGTTGATTAGCATCCCCAGGCGGTTACTGTTACGGAGTGCGTTCAGCATTTCATAAGTTTCACTTTTATGAATTTTAACCTGCAGACAAATTGTATGCATTAAATAGCGCTTCATTATCCTTCATACAGGACTTCGGTACGCTTGTTTATTTCATTTATTTCGTCGAATCTCCTTATGTTAGCCAGCGGTAATTCATCCAATGCAATTCTTGTTATAGTCAGGAACATTTGCCACCTTTACTAATTTATGCCAAACAAGTCCTTTACGATTGCTCTTTTTTTTTCAGAGTGCGAAAGAGAACTTAATCTTACAAACGACACTTTTCCTTCCCTACGCTGTGGCGGTGGGTGAAGTGTTCGCAGATGCCCAACACCTTCTCCGGGTGCTAAAAGACTGCTAACACGCGAATCACCTACTGATTTTTTACTAATGCACAAGGACACAGGTAGAGGCTCCAAATTCGATGACCCGTAACCCACCGCAGAGCATTCAAAAGAGCCCCACAGGACGTCTCTACGCCCTAGCAACGGGGACTTCCAGGTTCCCACGTTCCCCAGGACTTCCCATTTGCCATACCTATTAGACGGCTTTTTACCGACTTTTGATAGGCCACTTTGTACTCAGGCATATGACGATGACCTTATCTTGGCTTTACGCGTCTGCAAATTGTGCAGTAGTCCACGCCACGGCGACGGTAGGGGCGCTCTGCATCTTAATTGGTCCAGTTCGATCAACAGACCCCTACTAAGAGGCTGACACACTAGCCGCGACTGGCGTTGATGCTCAGGCCTCAATTAATTTCAAAGGCAAGTAGGAACGTAAACAGCGCAGGATTTGTAAAATATCTAGTTTTATGTACACAAAGACAGAGGGTGCAGAGCCGGGGGATTATGATTCCCTTCTGCGTTTGGGGAGTGGTGTAGGCGGGAGGTCGGCGGCGTCGAAGAAGGAAGCAGGGTCGATGGGCGCAACACCCTGGCGTTGCCGATGCTGCAGCGTGCCCGCCACCGAATGATTCAACTTCGGTCGCGGCAGCTGCGACTCGGGCGTGGGTGCAGGTCGGTTGCGGAAGTAGGTCGACGCCAGCGCTGATGTGGCAGTGCCCCGTTGGTCAGGATCCAGCGAAAGCAGAGTATAGAGCAGTAATATCAGGTCGTCTCCTGCTGCCGTGAATATTTGTGAGAACGGCACCGGCGGACGTGGCTTGAATGAACAGTAGCCGTTCAAGCGAGCCACGTCTGGCCACATATTCTCATCTGGAGTGCCCGTTATCTAGGCGAGAAAAACGAAAACCTCTTTATTTTTTTAAGGAGAACGCGTGGTCTGGAGTCGCTGTCCAATGAAACTGAAAGGCGATGAAAACTGATGAAGTTACCTCGAAAATTTTGTCAAGCTGAGAAAAATCACAGTCGGCTGTGAAGAGCGGCACGCGGAGCAGAAACTCAGCGATGATGCAGCCAACAGCCCACAAATCGATACCAACCCCGTAGCGTGTGCAGCCGTAGATGAGCTCAGGCGCACGGTACCAACGGGTGGCTACTTGGTGGGTCATCGGCCTACCTGGGGAGGCTGCAAAGTGCCGGGCAAGACCGAAATCTCCTATCTTGACAACTCCTTGTGGGCTCAGAAAGAGGTTATTTGGTTTTAGATCACGGTGCAGAATCCACTGGGCGTGTAGGTACTCGACTCCTTTCAGTAGCTAAAAGAGTTGAGGAGGTTAAGACCACCTACTTGAAGGCTCAATGACTTAATATTGGCTGGGGTCAATACAACACTAGAGTCCTGAATGACAGCCTCCAGATCAGATTCCATAAACTCAAACACTAAACAGATTCCAGAATCCTGACTGAAGACGTCCTGGAGACTCATAATGTTTGGATGCTCAATTTCGCGCAGGAGTTTGACCTCGCGTATAGCTGAGAGGTTCATCCCATCTGCCAGGACCCAGCGTGGACCAGCTTTGACCTGCAAACATAATTAAAATTCAAGCCGTTTATTTATTTATTCGTGTAAGCGTTCAAAGCTTGTGGCCAGAGTGAGCTTGCCTTTTTTATAGCTACGAGACAACCACCTCTTTGCAAGTCGCGTGCCAGGAACACATTTGCGAATTGGCCCTCGCCAAGGTGGCAAACTTTCTCATATCTGCGATTTTTTTGGGTCTCATCAACAAAGATATCCATTCTAAGAGTAAACAAAGATTAAACAATCATTAAAACTATGCGAGCATGAACTGCATCGGTGAGGAACCACGTCAGCGTCGAGAGCTTGTTGATATTTCAACAACGAAAAACCGATAAACTGAATAAGATTCCCTCATAACAAAAAATAACCGTTGGGTTTAGTTTTATTTATCGCAGGTTTCAAATCCAGACTAGCGTTTTATGACACATACCTGACTCGCAAGTGCGGTTCCATTGTATTTAATGAAACAAATAAAGACAGTCAAATAAACGGACGCAGACCGGAACAGAAAACCTGCCGAAAATGGATTGACAAGTACCAGGAAATCGTCTCCAATTAGGTCTAAAGTCACCATAATAGAAACTAAGTACTTTATAAGTCCTTTCCTTCAGTACTCTAGACGAAGGGTTGGGCAAAAATTGTCCCTAGCATAACAATGCCATAAAAAACCCCAGTTTAGTAGGTGTTTCGAGGCGAGCTTAGGTGATCCATTAAACAAAACAACGTATGAAGGATAATTGTAATTGGACACTATCCGAGATTAAACGCCATTAAACCTCGAATCTGCCGCTGTGTATAAAGTGAGTCCAATACTGAGGCAAAAAAGGTAGCATGCAAAAAGTTCACCGTACCTTAAACAGTTTAAATTACTATAAATAAGAAGACAGATCTTAGACACACGTGAAAAAGCACGACCCACAACGCCGCGTACGAGCGTAGGTGAACAGATAACACCCATAAATTGAAACAAGAACAAGGCAGAGAAAGCTAGGCCATCAGTTAAGAGAAAATATTTAACATGACAAATAGTCGCGAGAAAGCAACACGAAGAACTGGCAACTATTTTTGCTTTGCGTAAGATGTGCTCCTTACAAACTTTGCACCAGGAATAGTAAATGTTCAGTTGCATATTCAAGTAGGTTACACACGGGATCTGATGCCGATTTGCAACCCAGGCCTAAGGCATTGCAATGCCGCATGCATAAAACCTGGATAATTTGCTTAACTTTACTTTTTGGTTACGGGGGCACTTAAGGTTCCTGAACTTTAGGCGATACCGACCGACTCAGCTCTACTAGACGTAAGTATTACAACCAATACTATATTATAATAACTTGTTATAACTTCAGAGCAGAGTTAGAGTGCTACATATGTACAGAGGCACCATTTGTTTGACCGCATTCAGAGCAAAGCGAGCTGCTCCAGCTTTGAGCGTTATTTTTCGTATTCGAGGCATAACAAGGGGCATATCCAAGACATTTCCGCTCCTCAGCAAGCCAGCGATAAACTACTTACTTACATGCTACAATTCTAACATTATTCTGGAAAAAATTAGGCGCAATAAGTCAAAAAGGAATTCATTCTCTTCGTTTTGCTGAGTTGTCGTATACTTTGAGGTAGAGGATTCGTTGCTGCGCTACATTAAATGAGCAAATAGGAAGACTCGAACAAATTTGGTAAATTTAATGTCTCGGCAGCTATTCGATCTTAAGTGTTAAGTGTCAGGATGTTTTGAAATTGGTGATGCTTACTTCATCACATGAACTGGAAGTCAATGACGTAAGGTAAAGTAATTCAATTGTGATACGTTGGTTGTTTGCTTGGCAGTCACCTCTGGCGTAGGGCCGCTCCAGGGCATTGTTGGTAGCCCAAGTGCCTACTACATGCCGAATACATATATTCTACCCGAAAATTTTTGCAATTGGTTGGTTAACTCTCGGCTCTGATATCGAGCCACTTTTGACTTGGTCACTGTACCACGCTGAGTGGACAGCACTTCGGGTTACGCCACTAGCCAAAATTCCCTCTCTTTGTCTAATGCATATACTATACCCAAGTTTTATGCCTTCTTTTGTCCATAAAAAAGTCTCAAGAAGCTACATTATGTCGTTAGGGCACCCTCAGTTTGCCACACCAGTGGTAGTTCGCTATTTCGTATAGATAGTTAGGCCAATTAATCCTTAAGGGTAGAACGTCAACCCTGTAGCATAACTCTCAGGTTTTACTGGGGGCCTTATAGCCTAGCTGCACATCGATAACATATTTTTGCAGTACACTGGTTTGTTGCGACTTTAGGAAGTGTACGGTGCTATAGATCTTGGTGAATCTTCCAGACCTCAAGGTCTGATTATATTGGCAAGAGTGTGGGCTCAACTTTAAGTTTAATCTAATTTTCGACATCTTAGAGTTTTTTTCACTGCAGCACTCACATATTGTTGCAACAGTCCGATTTTTAAGAAAATAGTCTAGTCATTTTGATGATATCCTAAATGTTAATTTTACAGGGCAAACGATCGAGGTCTGATATTGTTTTTAGACATGCAGTTGTATTGTTTGCGCTTTGCTATTAAAGTAGTGCCTTTTTTATGAAGATTTTTATTTGTTTTACATAATGGGTGATGGTGCGCCTCATTTGTTGTGCCCACACCAGGACATTGTATTTGTAGTATGTCTTCGACAGGTAGGCTTTAAGAATAAAGGTATACTCACTTGTTTCCAAGATACGAATGTGCCGAATGATTCCAAATTTTACCAGTTTTCTATTGGTGATATGGTTTACGTTGGTAATCATGTCGATCGTGTTGGTACAATTGCCTTTATTGGAAATACGGAGTTCGCCCAAGGCGAGTGGATAGGTGACTACCCTCATGATATTTTTGCGAATCCCTCTACAAGAACCTGACTATTTGCTGTTTTCAGTACCCTTTTGACCAGTAATCTGGACGGTTGGGAGCAGCCATGTTTCCTGGTATTGGTTTAGCTTTTAGATCTGCGTTTATTCCACTTGTGGCTCATTTGTGCTAGCGATGTATGACCATTTCCGGGTACACTCGCTGGCGATAACGATAACCCACTTCGTTTAATAACTAGTGGCTTTTCAGCTGTTCTACCCGAGGTAAAACTGGAATTCCCACATCCACATGAAATTATTGCTTAAAAATTCCCACGTCCAATTGTCTTTGCACCATTTTTTTATTTCTTAGGGATAAAATTGCAAGCTCCTAATGGAAAAAATGATGGCAGTGTCAATAATATAAGGTATTTTGAATGCGAGCCGCGTCATGGCCTCTTTACTCGCCGCAGTTTTCTCAAGCCCGTCTCAGAAATCCCCGTGAGTTCATCAGCCATTCGTCTATGTTTACTCATGGAGACAAATTGTCCAACTCGTGGACTTATTAACGTTGCCTCTTTTACTGTCATGGTATCCATGGAAGCTGTTTAATGACTTTATTACAAAGTATAAATCCGGTCTAATGGACCTTTAAGCAAGGAATGCAGCGCACTTCTTGCTATGTACCTCATAATTCAATTACCACTGTAGCGCATCATGTTGTTGTTACGGTCATACTTGTTAAACAATTTGAAAGTTAACACTTTTTGAAAGAATGCTAGTTATGTCTCCAGGATGCGTTAGGTTAGTTGGAGCAGAATATAAGTAATTTGATATACTTTCCAAAGCTATCATATCTGTGCTGTTCAACGGCTGATGTCACTTTTCCGTTCTCTCAAACAGACTCCCACGTAATTTTGAGATAAAGGCTGAACCCATTAATTTTGGGTAACTCGGGCAAATCAAATGAAGAATATATGGTTAAGTAATGTCCAAATTTATAGGTTTGGAAAAGATATTTGGATAAGGAATTTCGGGCCTGAAACATCATGATATCTTTCAAGGCATTCTTCGACAATTTTTTCACTTTGTTTTGCTAAACTTAGAATTATGGGTTTTTATTATTAGCCAAGTACATTCACATATCTAGTTCTTCATTGAATTTTTTTCATCCAATGTGCTTCTGTCGCCTTATGCTGGTTATTACCCGCGGATGTGCAAGCAACCACCTGCTGTTGCTTGGCCATCTGATAAAAAGGCTGTTATTTGACACATCTTTTGGACCATTTTTTGATATGAGGGTACTGTGCTTTGTAAACCATCATCACGGGGGAACATCGCCACATATGCCACTGATTCGACGGGTACTTAATTTATGGACTTAAAAAGACAATCCGCATTTTTTGGCTATTTTGTTACATTTATCGTGGCCCCGCTCGCGCAAAAGGCCGCAGGATGATCTAGAAAGGGAGGAGAATCCAAAATTGATTCGGGATGGTTAATGATTATCTTAAATTTTTTCGCTGATGGAGAATATTTTTGACTACCCTGGTTTTGACAATCTGCTGATTTTTGTTTAGGATCTAATTATGGCAGCGTCTATTGAAATAACAGAATCAATCGTGTCTCAAATGCTTCATAAATTCTCCATTCAGCTTTACATACAATAAAACCATGTACCAATGCGAGGCTATTGATGGAGCATGAGAAATTTGAACTGGCAAAACTGACTGATTGGATTTCCAGGCCACCACAACGGCACGACGTATCAGTGGGGCGTCCATGGGGCCGGTGTCGTCTCCAGTGCCGGATGGTTCGACCGGCTCCTTGCAGGTGGGCAACCGTGTGCAGGTCTCAGGCAGCCGCGTGGGCACCGTTCGTTTCATTGGACCCACCGATTTCGCAGCCGGTGAGTGGGTCGGCATCGAACTAGATGAACCCCTTGGCAAAAACGATGGCACAGTCATGGGACGCAGGTATGTTTTTCTGTATACCACTTTAAACTTTACTTTAGAATCCAGTTTTTATGCTGGATCTCACGAATCCCACTATTTTGGTAAGGAAAACAGTGGGGAATCTTAAGATAATGGAGCGTTACATCATTTGTATTTGCAAAACTAATTGATTTGCTTTTTTGCCTCTTTCAAACTACTAGATACTTTACTTGCAAACCTAATCATGGACTTTTCTCGGCGGCATCCAAGATAACCCCATTTACTGGTAAAACCTCATCACGGCCATTGAGAAAAGCGTAAGCACGATCGAGCTTCACTTCAACTGCCTTTTACGCTGACTCCTCGGGCATACCGCCTCTAATCACTTTTAGCGGAAGTCGAGAATCATTACTGTCAGTGGGGTCAAACTTCAGTTCTGTTTCCCGACAGAGAAATAGACCATGCACGCAGGTAAATCCTACTTCATTCTTAACAAAATTGAGTGGATGAAAATGTTTAGTTTATTAAACTTTTTTTGGCTTGTGCCACCGTAGTTATTATCTGAACACAGTAAAGTCATTATTGTTACACATTTTTACTGCAGGTCCGTACAACGCCAGGTCAAGGATCTTTTGGCGGTCCCAGTGTGCACGCTTTGGAGGTAAGCGAAACTACCCCATTTTACCCACCTTTCTGCAATGCTGAAGTTAATGGATCATTGCTCTCTAATACCGTAGCCACCTTTCTCATTTCAGAGAAATGGAAATGTAGCGCCAAGAAAGGTTCCATACATATCCTAGAATTTGCACCTCTTTGTGTGCTTTATAGTTTGATTTCACCTAAATTTACGGGTACCCATATTCAGTATTTTTTTAATTTAGAGTGTTGTTAAGGAAAAGGAAGCGCATATCGAACAGCTAATGCAGGAGTTTGAAATGGAAAGGACAGAATTGGCCAAAGTTACTACGGAGCGGGAAATGGTAAGGCCATTCGCTTCGTTCGAGCATTTTTCTGTCGCCTCTTTAATTATTCTTGATGTTCGTATTTTTGTCAAAGTCGTTGATTTTATTTTTCTCGATATTCTCTTCAGCTCTAGTGCTCTATAGTTTTAGGACTGTAATTGACCTTTTTTCACTTTATGATTCAGCGCAATGGGAAAAGTTTTATTTTAAGGGAAGTCTATCAAGGTTTTTTTCGTTAAGCATGCATGTTATGCCCTACTAATCTATTGTCATAATATGTCACACCTGCTGATTTCTGTTTTCAAATTTCACGTTGATGAATTGTTGACACCCAAGTTTGGAAGTGTAATATTTGTGGCGGAGCCAAAGTCGGTAACACTTGATTTCAGAGTTGATATTTATCAGTGCTTTTTTTTCTTATGCCAATTGCCATGATTTTGTGTTCCTTTTAGTTTGAAATGGAAGCTGCTGGACAACGCAACTTAATTGGGCAACTTCAGAGCCAGATAGAGGAGCTTCAGGCGGCTGCTATGCATCTTTCTGAGGAGAACTGCAAGCTCAAGGAGCGAGTTCACGACGAAATCAAGTAAGCATTGCTGTGTACCTATCAGTTGCTCTTCAATCTACTTTCCTCTACGTGGCTCTTCTGCTCCATCAATATTTACGTATCCATGAATGATTTCAGAGAGTAATGGGTATGAACTAATACGTGGATTTTCTCTCCCGAATCGGTCGCATCTCAAATAGAAAATATCTAACGATTTTCCATTGCATCCGCGTACCCGTCATCGTGTTTATCTGTTTACCCTAGAAAATCGGAAGAACTTCAGTTTCGTCTTGAGGAGGAGGCAATAGAAAAAACAACACTGGAGAACCAGAAGTCAGACGTGGAGGAGCGCATATTCGAGTTAGAGGAGGCCCTGGCGGTAGCCAAAGAGACCAACGAGCGCATGGAATGCCAGTTGAAAGAAAAAAATGCTCTGTTGCCAAAACCACCGACGACTATGGCGACTAGCAACTCGTCAGCCGAGGGCGCCCGACTGGCCGCAGCTGAGGCGCGGATCGCCGAACTGGTGGCAACTCTGGTGAAGATGCAAGAGGAACAACTCAGCGTATATCATCCTTTGTGATTTGTTTTTAATTAGTCTTTAATTTAATTAGGAAGCTATATATGTCGATTTACTTCAGTGCTCTCCGTCCCCGGGTATCGAGCCGGTATTGCAGTGTCTTTAGTCACAAGCTATTTCCTACACTAAATTCAGACTGGCGGTAGTAATACAATGCTCCTTTGTTTCCAACAATTAACAGGCGGATACTAAAGAGCAGGTGTCCACGAAGGATGCTGAAATACAGCAACTGCAAGCACAACTTTCCAGTGTACAGGCCTCCCTTTTGAAAGCTGAGCAGGAACTCGCTGAAAAGGTGGGGTGTTTCATTCATTCCTTTTCGACACATTTTTTATCAAAGCTTTCACTTAAGTGCCAAAAGTATTTTTGAAACGAAACCTTTCAAATAACATCACTTGACATAAAAATGCTTTAAATGCGATTTTGATTTGCAAAACTTTGACAGCTATTATTCACAAATCATTTTGCCAGTCCACAAGATTCACTCCGGTGTTATTGGGACAAGTGTGAGCATTTTATGAAATTCAGTGTTTATTTAGACAGAGGAATATCCTAAATATCTGGCATTTCTATTGATTGCTTTAATCTACTTAATTTCCGCATAGGCCCCGAAAGATGGAGGGACAAGCGAAAGGTTGAATGTGTCTAGAGCGGTTGAGGAAGAATTGAACTCTGCTTTGAACCAGCAAAGGATCCTTCTCTCCGTCGAGGAAGAGCGATTAAAGAGTGAGGAGGTAAACACTCTTGTCAGTCAGCTCGCCCAGGCTGAAGGGTATGATTTATTGTATAAAAGGTTCCTGCAAATTGTTACGTTTATAAGGAAATCCCTTACGAACAATTTTGGTAGACTTTTTTGTAAATCTAGAACCTAATGAATTTGTCGGATTATTGGTATTGAAATTTCCAGGGAAGTTGGTAGTTCCCTTTAATCATTGATATTTCTTTACCTACACTATTTGTGTGCTAATTTAACGTGGTGTTGTAAAAGTCAGATTGTGCAGCTAACTTTAGAATAAATTACCTCGTCATCCGCAAATGCATTTCAGTTGAATACATACCTAATTTTAACGGTGAATTTTGGTGAATCTCATCAAGTTTTGCTTTTCATATCGATATTTTCTGTCTATTCTTTTAATAATACACTTCTTGATAAACGATACTAAATTTAAACAGGGTGTTTTAAATTCTAAAGCGGTTGTATTTCATCTAGAGAAATCTACTGGGTATTCGTTGTATTTTTATTGAAAGTTGGCTGAGTTTAATGCGACTATGCCCTCAAAACGTCTTTTGTGGTTTACACTAAGATCGGAAAATCCGGTGGTGGCGAATTTAGCCACCGGGTTTTGCGTATTTTGAGTCGCTTAACGCGTTTTTACCGTTCTTATTGACTTAGAGGCACTATGGTACTATTTTGCAATTGTTCACAAACGTGGATGCCGGGGTAACAATTTGAGTAGAAAATGGCCATAGAGCACTTTGAAATCCGAGAGAATTTTTATGGGGCTTTTGAAGGGTTTCAGGTCGTGATCCGCTAATGGATCCCTTCTCTAATCCTATCGACGTGTTGAGGTGTCTGTCATCCATTCAACTTTCTGTTCCAGTAAACTGGCTACGATGGGTGCCAAGGTGGCGGATTTGGAGAAACAGATCGTTGAGCTCGAAGCGACAAAAGCCGAGCTTAATGATGCGCAAAAGGCCAACGTATCGTCCCTCTTGCAATCCCTTCATCCGGACGCCCTCCTCAACGAACTACAGACGCGTATTGCGAAGGCGAAGGAGAATGCCTCCGAGGAGTCTGACAAGTGGGCTAAACGCCTCCTCGGGCTGGTGAGTGCCACACTCCTCATTTCTTGCAAATGATGGACTATTCTGCCTGAATCGCCTTTGGATATGTTGTCCGAGACAAAGGATAGCATTGAAGCTTGTGGTGTGGTCGATTTAATTGCCGTGTAGTATTTTGTTAGATGAAAACAAACATCTTTATTGGATGGTGCACTATTTATGGACTCAATTTTGCAATCATAGAGTCGTACTGTTAGCTCTTATGGAATGTGGTTTTCTCAAAAATTCTATTATTTCTGAAGGTAACTGGTGTTTGCGAAGAGAGCAACGCCTTTTGAGGGATGCGAGTAACAATCCATAGTGTCTATGGCTTAGATTGGTGAACGTATAATATTGCACATTTGCTATAAAATCCATCCATACTTTCTGAGCTGTCCAATTTATTCAGTGCTTCAAAAATAACTTAGTTTATATCATTTTCTTAAAACTACGTAACACTCCACATTTGGCCAGGATTTTCTTAAAACCTGCATCATTTGCACGAAACCTCACATCGACATGCATCAAATATGTTGTAGCGCCACCGTAACTGTTTCTGATGGTACTACCTCAGAAAAATTTACTAATCGCGATTTAGCAACAGCTTCACAATTTGCTAAACATGAGCGGTATGCTCTGAGTCAAATCGCCGTTAGTTGGCATTGCTGTTTTTTTTGCGCACAGGCGGAGGAATTTAGGAAGCTGAAGGGACTGGAGCGAGAGCCCGACGAGGCGACAGCCGAGGCTCTTCAGAAGATGAGCATCAAGCTCCTTGAGGCTGAGGCTGAACTCGCTCAAAAAGAAGTGAGTCCTTCGGCTTCCATCTATCTCAGACTCATTCCACATCATTAAGAAAAAGTTGTTAGCAATAAGAAGCAGGGTTTACTTGATTTGTCTTTGCCTTATAAAAATAGCATTAATGCAGGCTTATTTCCACTTGGTCGTTATCCAATCAAAGCCTAAATTTTTGATGAGTGAACAACAATTAAGAAGATTTCTAATGTTTCAGAATTGAAGTCACTTTACCGCTTTTTTTACTGTTTCACACCAATCCTCATCGATCCCTTTACAGGCTCAGTTGCGAGAAGTTCTGGCTACAAGCTCCCGCTAAACAAATATAAGCGATACACTTGTTTAACATACTGTTTGCACAAGACGCTACTTCCTCTGTATCTGAACGAGCTAATATGCTTTCTGGTTTTTATCCATGAGTTCGGGCATTGAACTTCCACCGTGCCTTTTTAAGTGTTCTGATTCGCTATCTTTTGGGGAATAATGTGAGAACTTTTTTTGCCCTTTATATCCCTAGCTTGTGCTTTAACACCATATCGATATGTAACCGTTAGATCAAAAATTGGACCACTTTTGCTCTTTACCATCAATTTTGATCGGGTATTCGTTGGCCCTACATCTGTTTTTTGTGAGGATCGATTTCTATGTTTTGAGGAAAAGATAAAATTGCTTTGAGTTTGACAATGTGTGCTTCTTCCTTTTTATTACGCCCTCGCACGTCCTTCCACTGTCGCGTGCTCGTTGGTGCGACCCTGTCGTTGTCATCGCTGCCATCACCGCTCCCTCACACCATTCGCTCTCACATTCGATCTCACCGCCCGCCCATCCGTTTGTACTCATGTACACACACTTGTCTATCTAGTCTGCTTCGATGGAGCAGGTGGCCACTCTTACCGAAGCCCAGCTGAACCTGCAGGAGGCCCAGGATACGTCACCTACGCAGGTGCTAATCACCGAGGAGCTGCGCAAGCGCCTTGAGGTGCTTGAGGCTGAGCGCTGCCATTTGGCCACTGCCCTCTCCGAGCAGCAACAGGAAGTCATTCTGGTCAGTTCACCTTCATCGCTATCTCTTGTACCTGGAGTTAATGCGTTTACTCTTAAACTGTTGGTGCTTTTGTAGTCCATTTTGTGGTGGCGCTGTACGTCTGTGCTTGCACCCGCCTTTTATTGTTTATGTTGTTACTTAAAATATTTCAGTAGCTACTGTGATCTCTTCGTCTTAGCTGCAAAAGACCCTGAATGAGAGGGGCGCCGAGACGGAGACTTATGCACAGAATGTAGTCAGGTTAGAGAACGAACTGAACACCGTCGTGGGTGAGCGGGATAGGAAACTGAATGAACTCAAGGCCGCTGTTGGCTCCAAAGAAGGCTTAGGGCTTACTGACGAGGAACTTCTTCAACGCGTCGCGCACCTGCGACTACACAAGTAAGCTTATCTTCATTTACTCCTAGACCATAGATAATAAAAGTGGCTTATTTATGGGTGAAGTACACCCTCAAAGATGTTCCTTATCACTGAATTTGATTAGTCCTTATGCTTCGTATTTACTTAGTTCTTGGTGTGAAGCCCCCTAGGTAAACTAAATATTTCCTTAAGCAAGTTTATGCCTTTTTTATTGGTGTCTTTGTTATTTCAAAACTGCTTTTTTCACTTTTGATAACGTCTTGAATAGATGTTTTTCTTCACTAAATACTACTACAGAGGGATCGGAGGATCTTGGTGATTCATACATATTCCCTAAATTTGTATCACGAGTGTAACATAGGCGTTTAGTACTAGACTAAAAATGTAGCGATGAAAGTGATTGAGATTGGGGCTTGAAAAATTAGTCGTAACAATGTAAACTCAGCGCTTTCATCGAACCTGGAATACGGTTCCATAAAGGTCGAACAAATTGCCCATTTTGAGCTTTCCATTGGTGGAAGGTGGTTTTGGCAAGCTGAATGCAGTGGCAGCTCAGTTACTCTAATAAATGGATGCGTTTTACGGGAGTGGTAATACCACGAAATCATGGTCTGTGATCTTCCCAGACATCTCTGACGTCGGTACGCGGCATGCATTCTCTCTGTGTGTGTGTGTTTGTGCGTGTATATGCGCCGTGCTTTCACACGTTGCATCTGGTGCGCTGCACTGCACTGCCTTCCAAAATGTAGGGCAAATTGCGATCTCCCTACGGGCATCACTGTTATTCAACCGGTTCAGTTGCATTTTACCTATGGCGCATTGAATACTGAAAATCAAGTAAACCACTCCCCAAGAATTGATTTCGGATTCTACATGGCTTCTTTTCCATTGGGTTTAGTCACCTTGGATCCGTAATAGATAAACTGGCAATGAAGATTATTGTATAGATCTACGCTCCAGCTTTTCTGTACCTAGCACACTTTCATATCTTTTTGTGCATACCACAGTGGTAGTCATTCTACACAAGTGTTCAATGCAAACATGATTTAAATTCTGCCTTATTTAGCGTTAAGCTGTTCTTCTTTCAATCTATTTCCAAAATTCTACTTTAGCACGGTTTTTTGGGGTTCGCAGCCCATTCATTTGAAAGAAATTAAAGCACGTATTTTGTGTGAATGGGTTTAATTGATGGGCACGCATTAAGAATCGCCTTTTTTGATACCGATAGCTCATTTGGCTAAGCATTCGAGAGTAAATAAGCTCCATCGTCTCCCAAATAAATGTCATTGTTGATCTACAGCCCTTCGCTATACTGTCACTGAGGTAGATTGTCCCATCTTAAATGAGCTGTTTTAGCGCAACAAATCATGTAAATGTCTGCACTAGTTGTTTTAGCTTTTTCTCCGTATACAAAATTTCTAGGGACTTAACGTGTGCTTTATATTACAGTGAAGAACTGGAAAGACAATATGCTGCATCTGAGGCTCGCGTGAAGTCGTTGACCTCTCAGCATTCTCAGGTCGAAGAGGAATATCAAGCTCTCAAGAAATCGACCACCTCGATGTCCTCGGTGCGAACACTCGCTCTTGAATGTTTACGCTAGTTTATTTCTATCTTGATCACATTTAAACTAGAGGAAAAACCATGAGCATTCCATTGTTTTGCTGAGATATTGCTTCTTAGTGCTTTACATTTTGTAGCGTACTAGTTTCGGGTTTCTTCATAATGTTCCAGCTGTGCATATTGTAGAAAATGACTCTCTTGTAGTCACCTACTTTGCTCAATTCATACGCAATTTCAGTAGCCCTCAAGCGTCGATTAGTGACCTAGATTATGTTGACGCTGCTGAAAGCTTCATTGTCGTATTAGTCCAGTTTTGACTCAATACCGTGCAATTCAAGGGTGCTTGCTCTTTCATTCGCCCACAGAAGAAGTTGGACAAATTGCACAAGGGGGAGTTTGGAAGTATTTCCCCTGTTTACCGTTTGGGAAGTCAAGTTAGGCCAGGTCCTTTGGAGCTTAAAATGGAGTCGCTCACGCTAATTTTGCTTTTTTACCGACACGTCGTGACTGAGCGGGATGGTCAAACTGTTGGTTGGCTGCAGATGCTTGAGTTGGGTAAAAGCGATTCTGTCTCCATTTAGATTGATGAACGAGTATCGGCAATGCAACGTGCTTTGGATGAAGCCAATTATCGGTAAATAATCTGATCATAGATTTTCGTGGCTTAGAGATTCCCATATTTACGCCTCATCAGATTTTCCGGTTACCTATGACGTATCACTAGCAATGGCGACAATACAGTTTCTTATGAAGGGGATTTCACTGGAATATAAATTCACTTATAAAATATTTCTGAGAAGGGTGCGTGTCTCGGGTTTCGCTCTTGTTACTGGATGTTACGACATGCATGCGTCATAGCAAGGCCCTGTTTAGCAGTCAGTTCAAATCTTATTTTTGGTATTATGCACACTGAATCATCTTTCCAAGCTTGGTGCTTTTCTCTAAAAATACTGTTTGTATATACAGTAGAGATTCTTTACTTCCTTTCTCAATGCTATCGAAATTGTTTCGGATTGCTATTCATGACTACGAATCTAAATTGTTTAAACTCTAACGACAGGATTGAAGCGTGTTTTTAAATAAGAAAGCATTTCCACACCAAAAATTAGGTGTTTTATTTACGAGAAATTGGAGCTACATGCCTTTAGAGAGCTTTCTGATGCCCTTTACTGCGCCACGCAAATTTATGCGTCTTGTACCACAGGCATCTAGCTTTGGGCACTTCATCACTTGACTTCAGTGATGTTTTATACTAATGTTCATCCTGATTATTAGTTAATACGGGGCTTGATTTGTATGGTCCTTATTCGTCCTGCCATACACCTTCCTCGTAGGTCGTTTTGACGCATTTTCGTCGTGCACACGTACCCAGATTCCCCATTTAATGCAAAATAGGTTTTTAGTCTGTCGGCTTTCTGGGGTAGATAAAAACCCTTGTAAAAATCATCAGAAGCGCTCTTTATAAAGGGTTCGGTTCTACTTGTTCTGCCTCAATTGGTTCTAATTGAACCATTGCAAATCTTGTTTTCGAAATAGCTTATTTTACAACAGTGCGCTCTTGGGGGCACGCGTCTAATACATGTGTGCGTGGATGTAAAATATAACCATTCGAAAATTGAGATGGGGCTGATCAGTGGCGTCGGATTCGGCGTCCTGACTCAGGCAGATTCGCGTCCTATCTCCATCTCACTCATCCTGCCTCCGTCCTACATAAATTATGCACACAAACATGGCTAGCAGGCAACAACCCTGACACTGCGATGCGCATATATCTGTGGGCGCGGGAGGCGATGCCCGACCGGCTGGATATTGCTGCGTCACTCTTCCACACCTGACGAGCGATGATGACTCCCTCCTTCTCCCTCTCCAATTTCCTTATTTACGAGAAATCCCTATCTCAGCTTTATCCCGTGCGAAATGATCCACAACATAATTTGGCAACACGGTTGAACACATCATTTTGGTGCAGATTTGCTTCTTGTTTCTGATGCTGCCAAATTCATTAGCCGACTGCTTTCTGTGATATCAGTCATCCTTCTTAATTGCTTGATATGGTTGATAAACGTATGGTCCTATATCGTTCGACTTGCATCGTCCGCATGATTTAAAATGCATTTAGCAGTACTGACCAAAATTAGTCACGCTAACTGGGGTTAGCTTCCGCTTCTTGTCCGTTCCTATTTTTGTTTTTTCAAGGCGTTTGACAAATGGGCATTCAATTTCAGTGTAGTTTAAAGTTATCTATAAAATTACTCGATTTATGGAACCTTGCCTCTTTAGTGTCCCCATTTTCATTCTGTGGTAACTTCAAAAAATTTTGCATAAACAGTTGGTATTTCGGATTTTTGGATTAACGCCTCCAGTTGCATAGCTTCTACTGCTATTTCATTCGCGTTTTATTACTGCTCCATGGTCATTGCTTAATTAATGATTTAGTTGTTTTAAATTACCCGATTCCAATTTGTTCTTCTAACCCTATGTTTCCTATGAACAGTACTTAGTTTGCACCTTGGCTCGTTAATTCAATTTTGCCATTTTTATGTTCGCTTTCAGTGTTGAGTTGGCCGAGCAGTCTTCGGCAACAGCTCTCCAACAACTGGAGTCCAAAAATCTGGAACTCCAATCCCTGCAACAACGGCTTCTCAAATTAGCCAAAGATGTACGTCCCTCTTGTTTTCGTATGTCTCATGATTAAATTTACGAAGGTAATGGTAGCTTCATATGATCAAAGTTGTATTTGGCTTGTATTCCTTTTTTCGCTTTCGATTGTTTTTTGATGATTTCATTCATTACAACACTACGAGAAGATCTGCTTGTTTTAACACGAGAACCGCGGTTCATATATGCATCTATTATGGTCGTACTCTTCGCTTTTCAAAATCACTTTTCATGCACCATCTTCTTTGTGAATGGGCTGTTCTATACGTTTTTTTTTCATATCACCCTCGGATTTCTAAAATTGACGGTGATATTTAAACTTTTCAAACAGTGCATCACGCCATGAGTTTATTTTTGGCATGCTTTACAAACCACTTTCCAAAGTTGGCATTTAATTTTGGTTGATTGTTTATCCATCTATAACGAATCTCGTAAATGCATGTACTAATAATGGTTTAAAGATGCATGGAATTAAAGGAATGAAATCTGGCTTAGGAATGTACAGGAGGTAGTTAGCACACACACGGCTGAAAAAATCTCCAGCGTGAATGATGGCCTAGAGGGTGGGTGTTAGTTAGTCAGCCATGTCAACACCTGTACACCGCCACGAGGAAGATCACGCCCTTGTGTTCGTGCCTGCGACGAAATAACCGTGTGATCCCGGCGGTCGTGCGTGCTGTGCAGCCTTCGTCCTCTCAGTACCCCCTGCCCTCTACTTCGTGGTGCATTTATCTGATTAAGCCGTCACCACAATTGGCAGCTCCGAGTCTTTTTCCTGCTTCCCTCTATTTCTCGCACGGTCTCTTGTTTTTTCCCCACTGGCCCGCGCGTACGTGGCTGCATCTTGGTCTCACTTTCACTCTGTGTAGGTCGGTTTTTCTCCTCGTCCCACCCTCCACCCTACTAGAAACGCTATTAGTGCGGCATAGTGACATGCGTTTTTTATTCTTACTCTTCTACTCGCTTGCATACAGTGGTGGGGGTGATGCAAATGCCCCCGGTTGCATGATTACATGTGCTTGTGTATTTAGATAACCAAGGCGCGCATTGGTTTTTTATGTTATTATCGGAACTGATTTAAGCACCAGTCACCAACGTTTTGTCTCCCTTCGAAAAGTTGTGTGTTTTATCATCTTATGCGGCTTTTCATTCTAATCTAACGATTAATCCACAATCCTGACACATTCTCTCGATCTTTGCAACTTTTGCAGTTGCCAGAATTCATTTTTAAGCATCTTGATAAGTCTAAGAGAGTGTGTATGGCCAAAATACACTTTTGTCGAATTCTTGTTAGGTTGTGGGTATCGTTACTTTATTGTTGTCAAGCAGTCCATTTCTTACCAACTTTTACTTCCCCACTACATTTTTCCTACCAATAAATAGAGATTCTGATCAAGTGCTGGATTACTTGCGTTTGTGGAAAATGGGAGGTTCGTATTTGACCCTTATCTCTTTAATACATTTAACTGTTTGTGGCCGTTTATTTCATCCGCAATGCATTTCAAAACCGTCTGTACCAGTAATATCGCATAGCTTTGGTGTTGTGATTTGTGTTATTGTACTGGCTAATTTTTACTTATGTCTGCATTTTATGCATCATGAAAGGTCGAATGGCTCTTCACGCTATTCTACATAGCAATTATATACCCCCAGGTTTTTTTCAGACTCAATCTTGGTTGTGTGAATAATCAGAATTCGGTCGGCTCATGGTAAGGGGTCGCCCTTCAAAAAAGTACCTTTCTACTCTTCAGTCCTCATAAAATTGTTATATCCCCCTCCACTCAGAGCTTGTGTTTAGAATTTCAATTATTTAAATAGTTGCTGCTTATTCAAATTTAATGAGTGTTTAGATTCTTGCTTTTCAATAAAAATGTTTCAGAGTCAATAAATCTTTGGAGCAATAATAATTTTCACGAAAGTGTGTCGGATACAGAGCTGTTAATTATTAAAAGATTTCCTCTTTTGTGCTCAAATTTTACGCCGTAGTGTCATAATTGCCAGTATTTTTACTAACTGGCTGGTCACGTTACACTGGTACCTTCTCTTCTCTTATACGACCCGTTATTTACATTTTTTATGCAACGTGGTTGCTTACTGTATTATTAATTTAGAAAAACGAGTTTTTGACTGTAAATGTTTCGACTAAAAAGATTACATTATGATTGTTAACGCTTAGGTCGCAGTATCTGTACCATCCCTCTAGTTTCCTTTCTGTTTTTGGCTCTCCAAAGGGCCAGAGCGGCACACTTTTTTTAAATTTTGACTCCAGTACATTAATTTACTTGGTGTTTGAAATTTTTTTTGGAAAATTATGTTACCTTGATCTATTAGTTCGCCTGGCGACTTGTTACTTTTACATGCATTAAAAGTGCTTTTTCGTCTTTTCAGCATGAGGAGTTTCAAGACAAGCAGATGCAACTTGTCACCGGCCTCGAAACTGAGAAGAGGATTTGCGTGGAACGCATGAAGAGAGCTGAGAAAAAAGTGGAGCGTTTTGAAAAAGAGTCTCAAGCGAAGTCGTTCCGTATGTTCTACCCTAATTTCACTGCAGTTGTGGAATCACAGAAACTCTCTTAAACCATCGCCGATTTGCAAATGACCAGATTTGGCCTTATCGGTGATTTGAATAAGAGTAGGGAAATCACGCTTAGTTGCTATCCCAGAGGTGCCTGCAATGCATAGGATTGAGTAAACGCCTTACTGATTATGCTTGGTCAAGAAAAGTACGGCTCCTGATAAGTAATTGTTATTAATAGCGGTGGATAATGAAATGAAATAACGGGGGAATTTCGAGGTGTGATTTCTTAATCTATGCATCTCTGTTTTGCACAGTTGTTGCCCCATGGGTGCATGCAGGCAAGCTTTCTCAATTGTTTCGTGGTACATTGACATAAATTCAGTTTTTCGACCCGGACATGTCCTACATGTGTTAGTCCTCAAATAACATTGCTGATGTACTTCAGCAGCATAACCATTCGGTCTGGTTTTACCCTAACTGTTGTTTTATTAAATTTACATTCGTAATAACCTTGTCACATTATTCAGACCCAAAGATGGATTTTCATGTCTCGATTCTCACCTCAATTATGTGCACTTTATTGTTTAGGCGCTGAGACCTCATCAAACTTTCACTTTGACCTGATGTTGTAGTTTAATACTGTCTAGAAACTCGTCTCCCGAAACATCGTTTAGAACGTTTGACCGTTATCATCTTTGAAATCCATGTGCACATTCGAGCCCTCGTAGTTGTAATTGTCGCTTAGGGTGAACAGCTATTTTTAACGTTCGCAAAAGTTCGTTTCATAGGTCATTGCTTCATATGGCTTAAAGTATCACCTGCATTCGTAATAAACCACGGTCTCCGATGCGGGTGGACTGCGATCTTTTTGCGGAGTCTGGAGCATGTACTTTTTCACTTTGTCATTAGCCAGTTTTGAAAGTAACATGGTTTGCTCCGATGATGGGGTTAATTATGCATTCATCTTTTTTTCCTTACCTTGAAAACTCCCCTATCCCAGGGCCTCCAAATCTTGCATTTCTTATTTTCCCCCGTTGAATTGCCCACTTTGCGCCGAGCAAAAGTGGGCAAAGAGAAAATACTATAATAGCTGGCAAATTCATAAAGGTCTGAACAGATACCTTTGTCGGGAGCCTGTTCGAAGTCCCCTCATAAGCAAATGTATTCAAATACTTTTCTACCTTTAGGCGGTATATATATACACACAATGCAGCTGCCTGTTTCTTCTTGACAATCCCACTTGGAGAATAGATCAGAGTCTTTCCTAAGTGTTTGGAAAGATAACTCCTTTACCTGTACATATTGGTGGAGTCATACTCTGTGGCAATATGATTCTATGTGGACAGTTTATTTAGTAGGTTTTTCACCTCATAGCAAGCGAGCTCGCTGAATGTGCTTTGATCTTGTTCGTCCTCAGAGGGGTTCACCTCACATTACGCTGAAGATGTTAAGTGGGTTGACTACTAGTCGTCTTACTTACCCACACACAATGTGTACATCATACACTGTTCAGTGTATGCGCTCAATTTGAGTGCAGATTGCTGTTTCAAAAGTCGAAACAATGTATGAAGTTAAACCTGTTTCTTTTAATGGTATAAAGCGTGGGCAATCTCTATTCAAGCGCTGTCCTCCTTGGCTATAGAAAATCCAGCATCGCCACCTTCCATGTCGAATGGTCGTGGGACCCCTCGCACACTGACAGGTGGATCTACCGCTTATGACAGTTACGACAGCCAAGTGAATTTTCTCAACTCCATCATTATCGATCTGCATGCGAAAAACGCCGATCTAGAGCAGCGGCTTCGCAACGCCATCGAACATCCTGGTGGAGTTGGCACCGGTGAAAAGTTGGGGTGATTTCTCTGACTTGGCATTTTTTTATGCTCAGATCTCTTGTACAAAGCGTAGTGAACCTTTTTTAACTCGTAAACTCGGGTTCAAAATCTATTGGGACCGTTGAGATATTGTTCGATTGCGGGCAACCCAAGAAATGTGAACGTTGTTGCAGTGTTGCAGGATTAGCAGAGGTTCACTTCAAAGACTTATCATTCACGGGTATTTTTTGCCAAAATCTTACTCATCATATATGATGTCTTCAGTTCGAACTTCCCTTTTTTTGGTGCTTGCACAAATCTTTGTCCTTTTTTACCTCTGATGCCCTATGTATTTGAGTGACGCTGGCTTGCTCTTTTTTGTTTTTCGTCGCTGCTTCATCGTATGGCCAGTAGGGCTACACCTTGGCGTTGGCTCTTTTTATAATCCCAGCTGAGGTCCCGACCGTCGGTGTAGGTTAAAGTAAATGTGCAGAAAATTGCACTTTAGGTATAAGTGTATGAATCGTGCTATGCATTTTTTAAGGCTCAAACTAATTATGGCTGACATAGTATAAATGTCACTATTTGCACCTCCCCCTCTCCTAATGTTAGGGTGGGGTTGGAGAGTGACTAATAGCACTTTTACCATTGAATGTGTTGTTAGGAGCGCAAATTACTATTTAGAGCTCACTAAGGTAATTTAATTTCAGACTAGATAATTTGCAATGTACTCCTAGTAGTTTGCAGTTTAGACGAGTGGTTCTGATCACTCCACTCCCATTTCGCTTTTTAGGGCGAAGGAGGAGGCGCGGAAGCATGCGGCGAAGATGCGTTACTGGTGTGACAATTGCGAAGTCTTCGACTTTCATGACACCGAGCAGTGTCAGCACGAGCCCACGGTCGCGCGGCGAAGCGCGGTGCACAAACTAGCTCGCCACGTTGGACCTTCGAGCGACAGGGTGTATTGCGAAAACTGTGGCGTTTTCGATCGGCACACCACTGCCGAATGCACCGAGGATCCTCAGGAGACGTTCTAACCTCTTTCACCATTCTGACTCACCCCTGTCACCTCATGCATTATTTCAATATTTTTTGTATCTAATTGTCTATTCTATGCACTTCACCTCTTTTTGTGCTGTTTGAGCTTTCGATTTAAAAAGCCCGATAAACTTACTGCCGCAACATTGTGTTCTTTGTGTGCGTACCAATTTGTTAGATTACTGTGTTATTAATTTCGCAGTCATGGAGTAATGCCGTTCAAGGACATACTTGTAGTTTACCTAGGACGAAATGATGTTGAAGACTTTGCTGTAGTTATGGTTTTTTTCGTCATACCATTGGCTTCAGAGGACTTACTGTCATTGTTACTTCTGGAGTGGTTAATTTGCGCGTAGGAAGTTATTGGTATGTATTTTTTCCATTTGATCGGCCAGCATGGCACTTCCAAATTGATAACCCGAGATGATGATCTTGGAGCTAGGTGATGCCACTTTTAGTAATGAAGGATCTTTAAAGTTGCCCAAAATAGGGTGGAAGTGTACACCTTTGGTTGTACGATCTATTCCTCTTAAATTGATCACTTCACTAGTGCCTTGGAGAACGTCCACACAGTATACTTCTGGATGCGCCCACTTTGTGGTATTATTGGCCGCACCCTCTTTGCAGTTATCAGTATCCATCTGAACTCCCTCTGCTATGCTCCAAACAACCACACATCTTTTAAATCTATTCCTCAAATTTCCTCTTTGGAGATCTCCGTCTTATCACTCGCAGACAAATTCGTACAAACAGCTGTTTATATTGCGATAGACGCAAGTTTTAGTCGTGGATTCAATAGTTGAAGTAAAGGGTGGACGTCGCGTTCGTGTTGGATGCAATAGCTCTTTAAAGAAATGCATTTCTGTAAACCCTCATGGTTGTCATAGCCTTCTGCCAAGTCAGGAGGGTGGTAAGTTTACTTTCTAGTCTGGGTGGTAGAATTAATTCGCGCATGTGATTGGTGTCTCAAAATATTAAGGGGTTGCAAACATCCCAGGATGAAAGGCTATGTGGGTTTTATTCAAATCATTGCGGTGAATCTGCTTAGCAGGTGCATTGATTCATCCGCGTTCTCTTCAATGCCAAGAGGAGATGTGTGGATTACATAATTTTTAGTCAGTAGGAAATGAATTGTTTTAATCAATGGTTGGGCGCATTACTTGACTCATTAAACTGAGTAAAGTAGTTACTCTTCAAGATGTGTTTAACTTATGCCAACCGAAAATTATTTCGGCAAGTGTGTGACCTTTGATTTAATGAGTCAGTTTTGGTGTCAAATGTTCCCTTAATCATTCAGAAGGTCTTTGAACATTCATTCTTTGCCTGTGACAAAAAATTACAAATTCCTATTAGAACGCAAGAAACAGAATTCGACTTGACACTGACGTGTAGTCTAGCGCCAATAAACATCTGAACTGCAAATATCTAGAATCATATTTTTCTTTAAACTTTCAGAGCAGATTAATATTTTACCTGTGGACTCATACATCTACGCAATTAATTAACATTTTTAAAGGCATCCGTAAGGAATGCATATAAAATTAACGTAGTAAACTAATCTGTGATTGGTCTTTTTCTAAAAAAATTCCTAGTCGCCACATAGGGTTTAAATCCCTGCAAGAGAGAAAGAATCAGTAAAAGAAGAGCACTTATGACAAGCAACCAGGTTTCTCTCCTTTGTCCGTGGATTGCGATAATTCATTATCTGCAGCAAGTCAAAGTTCCCGCAAGTATCTATGGAAGAATTTTGTCTGATGATGCGAGATGAAACTAAATTTCTAGTATTCGTGAAGTGGTGAAAGGCGAAGGTTGTGCCCGTATCAGTACTTGTCCTCAATGCAAGTTGTACGCATGTACGATCGAGCTGGCAGCACCGAAGGATTGGACGTCAGAACCGATAGGATATGTTTGCCATATACGATTTTTCTGGAATTGCTTGGAATAGTTCATAACTATACTCTCAAATTAGTAATAATTTTAAGCTGTCGTAATGTTGGATCGTCTAAGAACTTGGCCATATTGCATACGCTTTCGAAAAGTCGATAACGAGAAGTCTTACAGTCAGTATAAATGCCACTGAAAGCTAGAACCTAACCGACTTCACTACAATTTGATAAAAATAATCGAAATTTACTGTCCATTTAAGTGACTAAAGTGCACGTCTTTTCTTGATTTATTGTACCGCATCTACTCGTAACGATAACGTTTTGAGATATAGCAACTGTAAGCTTTTGGACGACTTGGGCACAATGTGTTAGCAAATTTCGGGACAAATCCCGGAGAAGAATCAACTTGTTGGAAATTATTTATTGAAATCAGCATTGCTTGAGGTCTGCATTGTGAGTTGATTTTGGGTGACTGTAACACTGCCGTGTCACGAAATTGACTAGTCACTGAAGTGACATAACTATAACATACCGTTCTGGGGTGCTGACTTGACAAATGCTGTAATTTCAGCCTTCATTTTGCTCGGAAATGTGTACAATCGATCCATGTTTAAACATTTATTTCGTAGAAGATGTAACGTATTGTCCGAATTCGTCTAATTTTTCTATCCTTCCATGCTCCACTTAAGCCCAGGTATTAAATACCTGGGACTCACACGATTTGGTGCCCATTGTGTCCGAATGTTTTATGTGTAATTTTGGGCTTGATTTATTTTTTTGCCCTCCGAGAAATGCATTTATTTCATGTGATATGATGAATCTCGCCCGTTCACCTCCCACCGCTAATGCTACCGCCGGTTTGGCTCCTCGCCAAAAATTTGTCCGTTTGATTGGTCGCCACTGGCGCTGCTCCAACTGGCGGCGGGGAGAAAATTGCTTCTGAAATTCGCGGGCGCTTGCCAGGTCTAGTGTGCGTTAGAGAGGCGCGGAAATAAATACAGTCACGTCTCAGAATAATCTACTCTTAATCTTATAATGGATATCGTATTGATACGTTTTATAACAGCTCTCAGGTTTACGCTCCTAAAGGAAACCAAAGTGTTAGCAGTTAGTAAGGTAAATAATTAATTCGTATTCGTGAATTTTTCGATATATATGTTAAGTAATAACGGCGTTGAAACAAAACAAAGTAGCATGGGGAAAATTTTAAGAAATTTCAGGTTATGGGTAAGCATGAGTTTCCTAACAGTTTTATTCTCATCGGCATCATTAACTGTAAGGGTGTTGCTAAATGCCTATAAAACTGAGAGTGATTCTATCTAAGTAAAACTTCTTTGGTGCCAAAACACTTGAGCCTCGCCTTGCTTTAATTGCGCGAATGTGATAAAAGAAAGTGTTATTTGAAAAAGGCCTGAATACACAACTGTGCACCACTGTCCTGAAAGGTCACTCTCTGATGTATGTGCACTTTCTGGCCTTCTGACACAATTCATGCTGTTGTTTTTTCCTACGATGAGATAACGGTGACCACACAAAATATTCCAAAACAAGAGTAGAGCAAACATCACGATTACACAAATGCAGAATCGACTCTACCGGGTACTGGAGACTGCTACAAATATACATTTATAGGCTTTGATGCTTAATATGTGAAGGAGGCAAGTTGTTTCTCAAAGCACCAAGTTTATTGAATTCTAAAATGAACCTGAGTCAAGAAAATTGGGGGATATGTTGATGAGCCTGATTCAAAAATAATACCAAGTTCTTGTTACATTGTAACCGGGCCTCATTTATCTAGGCATGAAGTACGGCCAAGGAAAGAAGCAAAAGTAAATTTTTGGAAAATGTCATCTTTTCAAAAAGCTTATTTCGGTCGAGTGATTTCGTCTTAGAAGGGTTCAATTATGATGGCTTTAAAACTGATATGAAGTCATCACGCATTATGCTGGAGTTGTAAATACTGGTTTAAAACACAACAAGTTGGATTTGGGCAATATTTGAGTGGTAATGTGAAGAAACAAAAGTAAGTAAAAGGGAAGTGTTGCATAACTTTTCATAATTTGACGTGCCTTGTAAACAAGTTTCTGGTTTGTAGATCTTCGTTACTAGCAGTTAGTGTCCAAAATGCAAATACACAAGAATAGATGACAACCTCTATTGCGTATTTCATTTGATCCACAAAATTTCTACAGACACCTTCATACCTGCACTACTTTGCTCGATGCTTAGGGAGGTGGATAGTTGCATTTAAATGAATACTTCTGTTTTTCCGATCTTTTTGTGCCACTCGGGTGTCTGAACACCGATTAGGTACATTAAGGCTTATTTAACAAAGTGAACAGCCATTTTCTGATTTGTTTCACCTATCAAGACGATTTGTTGCAGTATTTATTTAGCCAGACATAAAATGTCCAATTTACTCTCTTGGCTTATATGCATGTGTCAGCTGATACCCTGAGGGTTCCAGTGACGAATGCTTTCCATGCCCGTTACTCATTGAATCTCCAGCCCGTGTAAAGCATCGTGGGATTAAACCTAACATATTTCTCAGAGCAAATTGCAAGTGTAAACGCACAAAAATGTCGACACTAAGGCGCTTAGACTGCGGCGGCGACAGCTCTGTTTATCAGCCGCTTTCTAGGCTCTGCACCACTTGGTATACGGTGCTGTGGATGCTCCTGCCTTGCCTTTCTTACTAAATGATAGGCATTCAGAGCACCCACTTTCCTTTGCTAGCTATTAAAATGGGTTCAATCCAATTCCAGAATTTTTGTGAGGAGATATCGTTGGGGCTAAAATAAGAGAAATGGGAAACTTTAACTTTTGTGGGAATTGTCGACACAGAAGATGATGGTTTGATGGCATACTCTTTTGAGTATGAATTAAAACTTGAGGTTTATATTTCGCACAATCGACTTGCCCCTCAAAGATAGAATTACACAGCTTCCTGATTTTTTATTGGGTTTTCTTGCAGGTGCGAATCTAATTAATCCTGCTGTTCAGTAGTCAAAGTACTAGTACACAGGGTCACGTTTACCTTCGAAGAAGTTTTCTTCCTCCCAAGACATTACTTAAGTAAGGGGCCAAAATGCACCACCTATTCGGAGATTATC